CAAGGGAGAGACTCAGGAGCACCTAACTAATCTCTCACCTTGGAGCTCAAGGGTCCCCATGAACCATTTATTCCCTTTCTCTTCAAACATCTTAGCTGCCTGTGCATTCTTCTCTAACACTGATAACATGTGCAACACACACACACACACACACACACACACACCTGCTTCTGCTTGACTTCTTGCCTCTTATGACACTTCTGAGACACCCTTCTGTGCACAGGGCTAGGACACAGTAAAGGAGCAAGTACATACTTGTAGCTGTTTAGTAGTTCTTCGAAGAGCACAGAGCCACTGAATAAAGTGAGCAGTAAAGACAACAAAATATCTATTGGGGAACAAATATACAAGAATCTCATTCTATCCACCTCCAAACACACACACCCTTACTTCTTCTCCTTGAATCTGGAAGGGAAACTTGTACCAAACAGTGACATCACAGGTCAGTATTCCTGAGACTCATCTTGCATTTCACCACTCCACATTTTTGCGCATGTCATCCCTTCTGGCTAGGAGGCCTTGGGTAACATGGCTGGTACACTTGCTGGGTAACTGTCATACCTGTTCAAATCACCTTTTTCTCCCTATCATCACTGAACAACAGGACACTTATTCCAGGATTATTTGTTATCTGCAGGTCTCAGTCCATGACCCATCAAGCTGTCTTCTGGAATCTAATACAGTGCCTGCCACAGAAAAGCACAAATAAAAATGGCTCACCAGGTGAATGTACACATGTACTACTGAGACATTTAGAGCTGTGTGCTATATGTGGGCTGGGGAGGGCGGTTGCACACAGTTTTCAAGTCTTTCTTCCTTGCTCTGCAGATAGGGGAAATTAGGGAAGCTTCCTGATAGTCTGAGTTCTCACCAGGCCCAGACCTGGGTTCTTTTTGTGCAGGTGAGAACATTCTGTGAGGCCTCCTAGTCTACCTTCTACAGAACTGATACAACTCTGGAATGCTGCCTTGGGCACAGCAAGTATTCACTATTTGCTTACTGTTTAGAGTTTTGATAAAGGCTTTATATAGCCAGGGAGTATGACCAAAGGACTGCTCCTAAGCACTGCGCTAATCTTCCCAACGAGTTCATTCTAGAAGCTTAAGCCAAATCTTTCCTTGCCATCACATGTCTAAACTCAGACAGGGTTTATCATCTCGTTCAGGCATCCTCTAGTACTAAGAAATCACTTGGCCTAGAGATGCCCATATCCCTTTAATTCATGGCTGAGAGGCTCACCTTCCTCCAGACAACCAAGTGCCTGCAGAACTAGTTAGAGAGCCAGTCTAGAAAGATGGAAGTTCAGCATTCTCCTCTTCTCTAGGACCTGATTCTTGAGTCCTAACAGTCCCTTACTGTGAAGCACACAATAATACCCACACTGGGGAAAAGGAAATTGTGAACAGGATGTGGTGGTGATCAGGTCTGTGTTTGAAAATTCCCACTGTCACCACCGTACACTGCCTGGGCTACTGCTTGGGGAATTGGCATATAACTCATTATCCTTGAGCAACCAGGCTGGGACTGGTAGACAGGTAGGAGTCTTGAGGACTCAGAGGACTAAGAAAGAGGCACTGCTACCCAAACAATGCTGGAAAGAACATCTGATTCAGCCCAAACACAAAAGGGGAGGCTAGCCAGGTTAGTTTTCACCCTGCTCGCCACTCACTTTTAACTATAAATACACTGTTTATATTTAACTATAGCTACCACTTATTGAATTTATCACTTCCAAAGTGATAAATTCTTTATATATACTATCACACTAAATCCTCAATACCACCACAGGGCAGTGAACTCAGACTTTAGCTTACATCAGCATCTCTCTCGAACTTATTAAAGTCCCATACCACAGTCTACAGAGTGAGGTGTGAGATCTTCATTTCTAATACACTCTCCTGTGGAATAGCATGACCTAAGTTGTAAAACTGGGAAAGAAAGAGAGAAAGAGAGAGAGAGAGAGAGAGAGAGAGAGAGAGAGAGAGAGAGAGAGAGAAAGAGAGAAAGAGAGAAAGAGAGAAAGAGAGAAAGAGAGAAAGAAAGAAAGAAAGAAAGAAAGAAAGAAAGAAAGAAAGCAGGCAGGCAGGCAGGCAGGCAGGCAGGCAGGCAGGCCAGAGGGAGGGAGGAAGAGAGAGAGAGAAAACAAAGGATTCAGAGGGCCAACAAAATGTTTCAACCAGTAAAGACACCTGACACAAAAGCCTGACAATGTGAGTTCTAGCCCCAGAACCCAGGTACTGATAGGAGAGAACTAACATAATAATGTTGCCCTCTGACTTCTACACACTATCTCTCTCTCACACACACACCAGTAATAATAATAATAATAATAATAATAATAATAATAAATTTAAAAAAAACAGATCCAGGAAATGGTGAGATGGCTCAAAGGGTAAAGGCATCTGTTACCAAGCCTGAAGACCTAAGTTTGGTCCTCAGGATTCACATAATGGAAGGAAAGAACCAACTCCTGAAAGTTGTCCTCTGACTGCAGCATGCATGCTATTGTATATGCACACATACACACATGCACACACACACACACACACACACACACGCACACACGCACACACTGTAAAATTTTTAAAACAAAAGCAGATCCAAATATTGAACCTAAATTTGTCTGACTATGCAATCAGTGCCCATACACACACTACTATATGTGCAAATGTATTTCTTTTCCTCCTACATTGACTGGCAGCTCCCTAAAAGCAGTTATCAGGGCTGGGGATGTAGCTCAGGGGCAGAGGCCAGCATGATCCACAGCACCTTAAGAAAATTTATCGGCTAATCAAAATAAAAGCAGGCATCATACTTTAGAGTTTAGACCCTTCACCCCCTTCAAAACTTAGCAGTGTCTTTGAACTCAGTAGGTACTACATAAATACTGACTCCTACATATTCACATACTTCAAAGGCCACACATAATTCAAGCTCAATCATAGACAAAGAATTTGCCAGACCAAATTTTAAATGCTACTCTCACGCACAGCCTCGGCCCATGCTGTCACCATACTGGTTCATTCCATAAAACAGTTCTTGGCTCCCTAACACTGAGGGGCCCTAAGGACAAGATCTGCAGCTATTGCACCCTAGTTTACTTTCATAGTGACACTAATCAGATCACAATTTCCCATTTCTTAAAGCATCTCTGAAACTCTAGCATCTAGTTTAACATCATGTCCCCAGAGTCCAAGACACAACCTGCCACATCTTAGGCACTTTGTTAACTGTTGGTTGAATAAATAAATGAATGAATGCTCAGTTGCAAGCCCTAAGTTCTACTTTTTAAAATATCATAATGCACAATGCACAGTTCTCAGGATGAATTCCAGGGCAGTCTAGAAAACAAAGACCAATTTTGTGTCTTCTCTTTCCCATCACTCTTCCAAGACTCAGAGAATAGGCAATGCTTAGGGCAACACATGATGAGACAACACCCTAGCTGGAAAGAAATGTTCCTGGGTGCTGAGGCCCGCAGAGAGGAGAGAAGAGCTCTGTGGCCCTCATCCTCCTGCTCTCTCACACACTCCACCCACTGCAGTCAAGGACTTTGGCTACGGGTAAAAGAGTCAGCTCATATTCCAAGGTACAGATCTGGCAGCAGACACAGAAGAATCTCCCACCCTGCACCAGAGTCCTCAAAGAAGGGTCCAGAAAGGATGGTGACTCAGGCCCAGATTAAGTCCAGTTGAAGCAGTACTAAGAATGAAAAAAAAGCAGTCATTTCAAAAGGAAATTCATTACCAGATATCTCTTTAAAATGGGCTCTTTAAGTATGGGCTTCAATCCTATTCTCAGAAATTGGGCCTCACCAAACCCAGTGCTTACACAAACTGAGTCAAACACAGCTTCTCCCTCTCCAGTCGCCCATCCACCACCCCACAACACTCACCATGACAGGCATTTCCTAGGCCCAGGTAGGGATCCTTGCTTCAGGCTCAGCTTGCAAAAGCCTCCTTTCCAAAGGGGCCTCTTAGCTTTCATCCACTTCCCCAGCTAATAAACTATACCCTACCACCATGTTGCCTTCACTGAGGCCTCCCCCATACCCAACCCGTAGCAGTCTGTAACACAACCTACAGTAGGCTGGCCCTATCCAATTAGTTTGAATTGCTTCATGCCAAGGAAATGGCTGCTTTTATTAAAAATAAAAGCACTCTAAGTAGGCAATGAGCTGTGAAAAGTATCAGTCTGGCATAATTATGAAGGTCGAGGTTAAGGTTAGCAGAGGAACACTCAAAAGATTTCCCTAAAGCCTGGGGCATGAGTACAGATTCACAAATGAACACACACCAAGAGAATCGACACAAGGTTCTGAACAGCAAGAAAACTAAACCACGGCCACCCTTAAGTAGTTCTTAAACAGAAACTAAAACAGGAGAAAAGAGGCCTAGGCAATTGAGTTCAAAACAATCTCATTCACTTCTCATGATTTTTATCTTAGCTACATCCTGGGGACCTGATTTCAGTTGGGTGAAGAAACATGCCTAGTCAAAGAACCAAAAAAAAATGCATTTCCATCACCAGAAAATTCCTCTTTGGATACTTACTCAGAGAAATGGGAAAGTTGGGTAGAAGAAACCCCTCTCTCTTTTTAAGATCTCCCCATCCCCACCCTTCGTCCTCCACATCAGAATTTAAAGTTTCAGGGAAATGGCAAGAGCCCACCTCCAGGCATTTGATGTCACTTAGACTTCACACATACGTTTGCTCATCTGATCCGCATAATTCAGTCAAAGGAGGATGTTTCTCTGCTCTCTCCTCCCCCCCCCCAACTAAAATAAAAGGCCACTGAGGTAAACAATTTGGGCAATACTGCCCCCAAACCCTGTCAATTCTCAGTCTGAGTTTGAAATCTCTCAAGGACAATGACTCGCAGGGAAAGTGCAGGGGGAAGGGAGGGTCAGTTGGTCAAAACCCATTCATACAACTAGAAACCAGAGTCTTGCCACATCAGCACATAAATATAATTCACCGCGCACTGGTTTCCAACGTACCTTCCGCCAGCACTTCGTCCACAGTGACCTGCTGCCGCCCGATGCCAAAGACCCTTCCGATGTAGCCACTGCCCAGGCCTGAGCTGCTGCCCCCTCCTCCGCTGGAGCCTGAGCCCAGGCCAGAGCTGCCCTGCTCCCGCCTGGAGTCGAAAAACTTCTTCATCTTTCCGATAGGAAACGCCAAAGCAAAATGCCGATGGTTTCAAGGTTAGTATTTGTTGTAAAGAAAAGAAATCGAAGGATTTCTTCTCGGGTTTCAGCCCGGAGCAGAGCCACGGGAATCCGGCCGTGGGGTGGGGGCTGAGGGACTGCGCCTGCAGGAATACACTGTCAATCGCGAGACGGGTCCCCTCCTCCTCGGAGAGCGATCGTTTAAGTTTAAACCTGCGATGACAGAGGCAGAGAGGATGAATCAGTAACACACTCCAGAGCCCAACTGCCGGGTCCTAAGGGAAGCAAAGGCCGTCATCCAGAGGAAACGCTGTGTGCATTTTCTTCGGGAAAGCCCTGGAAACGCACCGGCCCCCAGCCCGGACCCCCGTCCCAGACCCCAGACCCCGGACCCCGAACACCCACTAGAGGTGGCTCGGCGCCGAGCCCAGCTACCAGTCCCGCGAC